GGGGGGGGGGGGGGGGGCGGGAGGAGGTCAGAGACACAGAGTTCCCGCACCCAACAGTAAAGACAGCCATCCTGATGCAGGATGATCTTTCTTCTGCAAATAACAAGAAGATCCATATAGCGCACAGAGGTTCCAAATTTTAATGTAAATTAAAAAGAATGTAGAAGCAACTCTAATAAAAAAAAAATTGCAGTGACTTTTCAATGAATCACTGCATTTGTTTTGGAGCAACTTTCACCAGAAGAGACTCCAAGGCAGCTGGAGGATTTCTGCTGCTCCTGCCCTGCTATTCTTTAATCCCAGGGCACGGGACGTTGGCCCCACAAGCCATTCTGCCACAGACTGCTCCTGTTTCCCAACGCTCCTGAGAATATGCGGAAGACCGTGATGAGTGACCGTCGGGCTCCAGGGCTGCGCCAGACACAAGCCATGGTCAGGCTTCTCCAGCATCTCGCATCTTTAGGCAAAGCTGATGCTGCCCACCCGGCTACGCACATTCCCGACTGGTTTTGAGCAAGCAGAATGTCTTCAGCGAGGCCCGTCTCACCTCTACGGCCAATTCTCTTTGGAATCAGTCCTCAGCTGAGCTGTCACCTTCTTCATCCCTTACTTCTCTGTAGCTGGTCATCATCTTCCCTTCTGGCTCATAGGGAACCATCTTAATACCGAGCCTTTCAGCTAGCTTTTGGGCTGCGACCTTAGCCTGCATCTCCTACAACAAGAAGAAGGAAAACCGTGCATTAAATAGGCTTGTGTTTGACTAGGTGTCAGACCAAAAGCTAAATTAGGTTACTTCAGAGCAAGCGCATTTAAGATATGCAGGTCGCTAGATTCCTCAATGGGTTCCCTTCAAGGAAAACACTGCACAACGCGGGAGGGAAGAGAAACTAGGCTGCACAGCGGACAAGCAGTTTAACCGGATAGCGCAGAGTATTGCAAAGCATCTGGGTATCAAAAGAACATCAGAACGAGAGACGACGAGGAGGCCACAAAGGCAAGAGAGGCTTATTTGCACAGAAGAAGTAGGCGGGGGGGGGGCTCCCCAACCCATGACTGTGACACGTGTATTTTTGTTCAGGAACATGTAAACCGACACATCGCGGAGTAAATTGAGCCAGGAATTCCCCTAAACGCTGAAAGCTTTATAGAGTCATTCTTAAAGTGAGGCCGTTCAGACAAAGAAGTTTAAACGCCGCAATCCGAAGCGCTTCGGGGGAAAACGGAGCGGCGCTCGGAGCGGATTCGACATTCGCCGCCCCCCGAACGCTCCGCCGGCGCAAGAGCCCAGCCAAGCGCCCGC